TCTCTCTCTCTCTCTCTCTCTCTATCTATCTCTCTCTCTCTCTCTCTCTAAAACACACAAACATCACCCGGCCAGGTAGCGCACACTAGTCCACAAAAACCTTGCCTGCCTGCTGTAGGCAAACCTTCTTCCCTCATTTCTCTTGCTTAAGCACCACCCCCTTCGCCCCCTTCCCCCCCAAACAAAAAAAAAGACATGAGGTATTGAACGATGGAGTGATCGGACGTTCCGAGGCCGAGAAGGAAAAGGCGCGAAAATGGAATCGAACTGGCGACCTGCGGGGAAATGAGCCGTTGGGGGAAATACCGCACGCTATAGGAAGAGAAAGAGAGAGAGAGAGAGTGGGGGGGGGGGGGGGGGGCGTCCGAGAGAAAACCGCGGACGGCTGTTCCTTGCACTCTACGTCTGGTTTCACTCTCCACCGGCGAAATGACGAAGCGCATCATCATCCATTATCCGTTGCAGCAGCGCCACGTGGCACACTGTCGTCGTAACAATACCCGATTATGATTCTCGGCACTTGGTCCAATCCGTCGATCGTCGATCGCAATTACCGCATCCCCACCAACGTAGACACCGCCTGCTTAAGCACATGATGATGAAGATGAGCCGACGATTGAGAAGAGGAGAAGACCAAGGGGTTACTACCACTGGCACTCCCCGAGCAACCCCTTTTTGACCAGGTGCAACGTATCGGCGAGCAGGAATGCACCTTAGCAAAGAAGTCAGTCAGGGGGAAGAATAATCTCCGATGATGGAGCGAAGGGCACCACCAATGAGGTGAAACAGAACCCGACGTCTGCGGCATTTGCCCCGGCAATTCCGAAAAGCTCGGACCTCTTCCCCCCCCGCCTCCTTCCCCCTCCTTCCCCCTCCTTCCTCCTTCCACCCCCTTCCTAAGGCTGATCCGCGCTTTGAAGAGCGGCACACCAACTACTAGTAATTGATCGACCCCATCATCCCACAGATGATACACAGATTAGCATCGACGTCCCAGGATGACTTGAACGTTGAAGCATGCCAGCCAGCTGTGCTTCCACGTGGACCTGGCAGCAATGACACCGATTACCAGGTGACACGTGGAATTCGTCTGGAGTCGCACTCCGGTCGCCCGCACTCTTTGATGATGCCGATAACGATGATGATGATGATGATAATGGGAGGTAAAGCAGGAGACGAGACGCCCATTACGTTATCTCTCGATCTTCTTGCGCGAACCTGATTGGGCTTGATACGTCAACGTCCGTTTTCTTTGCCTTTCTGAGGACAAAAAGAGTGATGCGAGAAAGGAAATGTGTGTGAGAGAGCGAGAGACAGAACGAGGAGGAGGACGATCAGCAGGAGTGGGAGAATCAGGAGGAGGAGGAGGAGGAGGAGGAGGAAACCTAAACAGGCAGCGTCTGGACTAGCTCAGTTGGTAAATACAGACATGAGTTCGGCCTCCCCTGGAGTTAAATGACCGAAATGACTACAACCTTGAATTACTTGGGGCCGGTCAGTTTAATGATCACATCTCAAGGCCGTCGCCCTTCTGAAAAAGGAGAGGGGGGGAGGGGGAGGGGGAGGGGGAGGGGGAAAACGAGGGAACTAAGCAGGAAGTGCCGACGACAGCCGTTAACTGATGCCGCCATCACTTTCCCGCTCTTTCAAGATGCTATCCATGACATGACCCGCATTCGGCGGGAAACTTTAAAAAACGTCCCGCCTCTCAGTTTTCGGTACCTGCATGCGCGGCCACGGCGGAAGTCGGCGGTCATCCGTCAGAGATGGCGCCGACTGGTCCGCCCCCCCTACGCTACACGCGAAATCGCGCGCCAGTTTTTTTCCCGACCCCTAAGAAATGGCGCCGACACATCTCACCGCTGAAACGTTGGATTGCGATCCATACGTCGGCAATCAGACGGGCCAACTCCTAAGAGCAGCAAATCAGACCCACCCCCCAAGTCGTAACGGCAGCAAATTAGACCCACCCCCCAAGTCGTACCCATCCGACCCCGCATCGCCCCGAACCTCCTCCATTCCCTTCCCAATCAATCTCAATCGACATCAATCAATCGGCACACATCGGCCCTCGCCGCACTACTCACCAAACGCGTACGTTATTATTACATCGCGAACGTATCTTCAGCAAGAATGTCGACAGATACGCTCACCATTTTTGGGCCTTTCACACTCAATTGGCGAGCGGTGGAGCCAGCGTCATCGTCTACAACACTGGACCACCTCTGCGGTTACCCCGCAGTGATCCCGCCCGATGAAATTTGATCGGCGGGAAAACGACAAGAAAGACATCATCATCAGGAAAGGGAAACGGACAAAAGGCTGTCCGTTCCGTCCCTGACGGGGGGGCATGACCGAACCATGCTTTCTGGTTTCCCGTCTGGGGGCGGACTTCGCCGGCGATCCAGCGCCCTAACGGGCATAGATCATTTGGTAAGGTACGCAAGTGGCATTCAAGACGTCTTGGGCTCAATCCCTATCGCCCTCATGTGCCTTCCTAGAAGCTCGGTCCTGATGCAACCGGCTGACCGCTGGCCAGTATCGCCCACCTGCAGGTCGGGCGCGGTTCCCTCGTTGAAGGCTTGAACTCGGGCTGCCGGACCTGAATTTCACTGCACGCCGAGTTTTGCCAAACCTGGGTCCCGCCCGAAAACTTAACCCCCTCAGCGGCCGGTACCGGGCAATTAGCGCAGCACTCCGGTACCAGTCGTCGCCGCAGCGGCGAAGCCAGGCGTTTTCACACCGAAGCAACGATGCTCGGCGCTGCTCGTCCGCCATCTCCGCTATCGTGACGGAAAGCGGTTTTTCGCCACGCACACTCCCGCGACAGGATCAGAGGTTCGCCTCGAAGCCTGTGCGTACTCGAGCAGTCCATAGACTAGAGTAAAACTACCTATATCGAAAAGCTCCTACCTAGCTCGACACTCGTATTTCAGCCACGGCGTCTCACCCATGAGTGCCTCCATACCATCCTCCGATTTCGTCAGCAGCGGCTCAAGATGCACAAAGAGTGTGCAACTCGGTAGACAGATGCTACAAGAAAGGGATTTGTCCCCAGGACGTCAATTTGGGAATAGTGGTTGATGATGACGAGGGCAAACGGTTTGTAGTGTATGAAACTGTAAAAAAAAATGTGGCTCAAAGAAAGAACGATGATTGTAAATTTTCAGGGAGAGGCACGCCAGCTAGCGAGACAAGTGAAGGAGGATCTGATTAGAGCCTTTGAGGGCGGATGGTTTGCAAAGAAGCTCTTTGCCGAAGACAACGGGAGGGGTAGAGTTCAATTTGAAGGACCTAACGTGGCATCCTACGTGCCACGGGCAAAGGAGGTGGCAAAGTGGTTGATATGTCAGAAGGAGTTGAAAATCACTTTAGAACGAGAGAAGAAAGAGTGCTTTGTCTACTTTAAACCGTGGATGTCTCTTGCATAATTAAGAGACTTCAAACTACAAGAAGTAGAATCCATTTTTTTTATTATGGCTTTGAGGGTCTCTCCCAATGCTTACTACTTCCTACGCAGTGCAGTGCAAGGAATATTCGGGGAAGTGATATTTATGCACGCGCCTGCGATAGTGCAAGGCCTAAACTAATGAACGTCAAATTTGACATGCACCCTAGCACAAGGTCGAAGATCGATGACGATCTAGTCATCCAATCTCCGGAGGGTGAAAGATGGAAGTGGAGATTGCAACCCCATACACCGACTAGTGTAGGAGATGCAAATGGTATTTTCATATCGAAGGAAATTTCCCCCGTATCAGGCAGGAAGGTGATAAAAAGAAAGTTCCTGAAGGCAGACCAACCGGCATCAGGCAAGATTCATGCAGCATATGCAGACCCATAATCAAATAGGAAGAAGTGGGGTGGAGGGGCGTCAAGAAGGAGTGATGTCATCAGCTCCTGAAGGACGACAATCATTGAATCCCGCGGCTCCTGGTTTTCAACAGTTACCGTCCGGTCAGATCACGTACAATCTCAAAGCTCCAATGGGGTTAAATCTGGGTCAGCACTCAAGTTCAAACCCAAAGTTTAGTGGTAATTATAGAAGCTCTGTAAATCATGCCACGTCAGCTAGCGTCCTAAGACTAGTGGAACAACCACACGAGGCTTTCGTCGCGCCCCTTCAGCCGTGGGCTACTGCTCAAGATAAGACAACCAATCATTCATCGATGCCGCCTTGGATTCCAAGAGCAGACTGGCCCGGAGGGTCCGCCTCATTCTGCAATCAACACTTGAACCAAGCTCTATCAGGCCAACCGAATCGCTATGACCAGTATCAGACGGCGCGGTGGGATAAATGGGCACAGAAGGCTGGTTGGGGCCACCCAGACACCTAGAACCTCTTCACCGAGCTTAAATGGAAGGAGGAAATCCACCCCCCTTGGTGGAGTTGGGTCGATCCACCCGATACCACGCTACCCATCCAATGCATATGACTGGAGAGATTGGGTTCATCATCAGGGGGGCACTGATCAAGCCTACCCATGTCATTCGTAGAGAAGGGACGAAGGTCGGGAAAGCGGATTTGAGAGAAGGATCGAAGGCAATCAACCGGACGAGAAGAGGGACAATGACATATGGAAGGGTCGGTTGGAATCCGGTGCACTTGAGCTCACACCATAAAACAAAGGCCAAGGTGGAAGAGTGGAGCTCGCCCGACTGCAACCCATTGGGGAAGAGGAAAAAACTACGATTGGAGTTGATCCACCTCACACTCCTGCCTCTTATCAATCACGGTGTCGTGCGCATCGGCCCTCACGTGAACGAGGGCCCTCCCGGCCATGTCACGCAGGAGTT